TGGTCGCCCGACACCTACCGCGAAGGCTACGGCAGCGGCGGACGTGGCGACCGTGGCGACCGCTATTCGGGGAGCCGAGACCGCGGGATCCCCCCTCCCATGGAAAGGGGTTACCCGCCTGAGCGGGAATCCTACAGCCGGTCTGGCCGCAGAGCGCCCCCCAGGGGAGGCCGCCTTGGAAGCCGCTCCGAGAGAGGAGGAGTCCGGAGCAGGTACTGAGCAGGAATGGACTTGGGACCAAAATCTCTTGTCCGGAGAAGAACCTGTTCTGTGGTAGCTGCCTAGGACTACTACAAAGAAGAGTTGTTTTGTCTTTTGCGAAATTCCTGTTAACTTCCTCTCCCCTTTTTATGCTTTTGAGAGGAAAATGGTTAAAACTCGTTTAATTCTTTTTGGAATTGTTAAAAGTTTCTTTCAACAAGCTCATGTTAAAAGTATGACTTGAACCTGCGTGCTGTCTTTTTATATTTCAAAGTAGAAATTCTAAAGGCGTCTTTTACAATTTTCTGATAAATGAGGCAAACAGTTCTGAGATTTTTTTTTTTTTTTAACAAACGTCTGCCTTTACAAAAAAAGAAAATGGATTTATTTTGCCCATTCAAATCAACTAGGTTTTTGGGAGAAGTGTGGGAGGAATTGGTGTATGTTACTCAATTTCAGACTATCTTTTAGATGAATCTCAGTGTTTGCAGTATTAAAAACCAACCACCACCAACAAAACCCACTTAGATGCTTATTTAAAAAAAGCTCTGTGTACTAAATTTTAAAATGTGGATGGATAGTGCTGTCCATAATTTGCCTTTTTGCCTTTTCTTTGGGGATTGGCAGAGTTTATCCCCTCAAAAAAACAAAAAAAACCACACGTATTTTAAACAATGGAATACTACATTAAAAATTTGGTCAGTTAACCACAAAGCTGGAAACAACAAAACAAAACAAAACAAAAAAACATTAAACATCAACTAATAGCATTCTTTTTTATTACCGCTAACAAATTATTGAACAAGTAAAAATTATTAAAACAAGTAAAAAAAATGTACCTGTGGTGGATTTGGGATCATAGTGACTTTCTAATTCCAAGAAATTGGTTCTTGTAGAGAGAATGGGCTCTCACAGGGGTGCAGGAATCAAATGTGAGCAGCTTCTCAGAAGCAAAGGTTAGAGAATCCCTGAAAGAGGTCAGCATTTCAGCTATCCTAGGATTTCAAAGTGGTGTGAAGGTCTAGGGTCTTCCTATCCACAAAAGGCAAGAGTTTGAGTTTACATGTTCCTTACTTTAAGAAGGGAGTAAGCAGAGGAAGATCCGTGATTTCTTCCTACATGCTTCAAAAGGAATGAAAAAATTTCTTTTCACCCCTGGAGTACCCCTAATTGAGAGAAAGGTGTGTTCAGTGTACTATTTGCTGAAGGAACAAATTAATGCTTGAACAGCACAAGTGTACTTAAGAATTCTGAATGCAACACACAATTCTAAAAACATGGTGTTTTGGACAAAATAGTGAATTGGGGGTTAAGCCACACTAGTGAGCTAGAAGATCAAATGCATCAAACAGATTTTTAAAAATCTGGGAACCTAGCAAAAATCCTTAAGGCCTTTATGGAAAACTTGTTAATCTTTACTAACGGACAAGAAATAACTATATGGAGATACACATTATATGATTTATTATTCTCAACCTGACCAAATTAATTTGTAAAGCAATACAACCTCAGATGAAGTTACAGCATAATTTTTCTGACACATCTCCCTTCCCTTTCCTAATAATGCCTTTGTTGTTGATCAGTAATGGAATACAAAAGATTTTGTAAAAACCAACCACAAAACAAGACAAAAAACAGCTTCATTTCATCACAAATTATAAAGAAACATGGTATTTAAAGAAAAGAAAAACACTAATGGGAGATGTAGCTAATCCTAAAATTTAAATGATGGAATAAACAAGAGCCAATGCAAGTCTGAGAAACAGACTTGTCCCAGCAGATAGCAAGAATTATAACAAACCTCTAGTCATTTAAACTGTAATTTCAACAGACCAGGACAGATAGACCGGTAAACCAAAATTGTGAACCTAGAAACAGACCTACTTGTACATGAAAACATGTTTTGTGACAGGTAGTCTTAAAAGTTGGTGGTGAAATAACGGACTTTTAAAAATGAATACCTCTTTGCAAAAAGGTGAAATGAGATTAATTCACAGGACACACAAAAATACAACTTAGATGATTTGAAAACATAAATGTGAAGAGGAAATTTTTTAAACATTTAGAAGAAAATAAAGGAATGCATTACCATCCTGACATAGTTATTCTTAAGACTTTAAAGTACAAACTTAGAAGGAAAATGTTGATTAACGTTTTCATGCCGTTCAGGTATACTGAAAGTATTAAAATGAAATGTCAAATTGGAAGAATATTGAAATAACTTCAACAGAGTGCTTAAAAATCAGAAAAAATATTTTTTAAATGGGCAAAGGAACTTAATACCTTTCTGGTAGGTATATTAAATTGACAGAATCATTTTGAAAGTAGTTTTGGCAATGCCTAGTAAACTTTGGAGTGTTCATACCTTCTGATCCAGAAATTCCATTTCAAGAAAAGAACCTAGAGAAATTTGCACATGTACACAAGGAGATATGCACGAAACTGATCTTTACAACATTCTTTGTGAAAGTATAAACAGCCCACATGGAGTGTGCATCAACAGATTTATTTTTATACTGGACTTCAGTAAGTTAATGTGGATCATCCAGATCCACATGTATCAACATGGGTAAGTATTAAAATGCTTGTTAGATGAAAAAATTGAATAAATATATAGTAAAAATATGGAGTGATTCACAAAAAATCAGCTTGAGGGAAAAAGGGAGATAGAATTAATGGGGTTTCACAATCTAATGTTTAAAAAGACAGATTTTTAAGGAAAAATTGTATGTACCTTGGTATCTAATTCTATATAGATATTATATAATAACATTTTAGTACAAAAACCATTATTTAGTGCAAGCACCCAGAATTAAATAACTACATAGGAATAAAATGTTAACTGTTACTCTGAAATTCTTTTCGATGCAATACTTATTGCTAAAACAATTCTCCAACCTATCTTTGTTCTCTTATAAATGAGTAATGTCTTGCCCTGTTTGTCTCTGTTTCTAGATCTTGATCCTAGATGTTTCTTATTGCTAGCTGACCATAACCTCAACAGTAGAACAGATATCTAAGAAACAAATCTTAGAGTAAGTTGTAGTTTCTCCCTCTTTTCCTTATTTTGAAGCATAATAGCAATGAAATACTCCCCAATTAATATAAAAACCTTTCCTGCATGATAAGCTTCTCAATATTGAAATGATTGATAAATGAGGCTTAGACATTTGGAAATTATCTGTGAGGAATTCAGAACTCTTTTTTTCAATAATCACTTTCAAAATGAGAGCATGAGCATATCAGGTGTTTCCCAGGACTCATCCATGGGGTAAATTTTTTTAACAATCTACCACAACCAAAATCCTTTTGTATGTTGAGCTTTTGTTTGCCTACTGCTGAGACTATGTCCTATACCTTCCTTTTGTCCAAAATGGTTCCAGAAGCATCCAAACTACCTATAGTTCAGCTAAATGCTTTGCTAAGGGCATTACTAAATATTTCCCCACCAAGTGAGGACTAAGTATTTTAGAATTCTGAGGACAACTGGAGTCCTTCTGTGGCAGGAATCCTCTTCCCGATGCTATTTAAAGAAAACTGAACTTAGAATTCCCTTTTACAAAAGGAAATGGCTCTCCCTTCCCCTTGCCTTAAGATGTTGAGAGGGTGAAGACTCCTGATTTTATGTCTCCTAACTTGGGGCTCTCTCACATTTGTTACATGCTCTCTGTAGTTACCCCCCTTTTATCTTTTACCTTAACAGTGATTTTTTTTTCCTCCTCAGAATGTTTCTTTGTCAGGGGCCAATTACTATGTTGTCATAAATGTTTTTCTTTCTGGGGCATAATTAAGGACTCACCAAAGAGAACTGATTCTGAAGCTAATTTCTCTTACAAGGTAGAGCCCTTAAGAATGATATAAAAGTGATTCTAAGTATTTGTAAGTGCTATTGAATGTGGTTATCAAGGGGGAAACAATTCTAGAAGAACTACAAAGCAGTGATAACTATTGAAGGTATCCGACTGTCATACTTCCTGAAATGCTGAAGTGGAATGAGAAATCTGAAACCTGATTAGGAAATTCTTAGAAAAGATATTAGGAAGAAATAATGTACATTCCCATTTTGTTTGGAGGCTGCTTGGTTAGTAGAAAAGTAACTTATTATTTGGTCTTATGTATGAGTCCTCATTCTGTTATTTATGTGGCATGTTCAATGAAAAGTTTTGATTTTGCAGTTTTTTCATATGCAAATTTCATGATTGTGAAAATTTTACGTAAGATGATGTCTACAAAGTACCTAGTATAGTGCTTTGAAAATTATCATTCAATTCCCACTAATTCCAATATTGAAATTCTAGAGTCATAGATGAGTCTTTTCAATTTTGATTTATTTTCTGCTGTCTGCTTTTTACCTCCTAACAGCAAGGTATGTAATAGATAAAAACTAACCAGCAGGCTCCGTATCCAATTCTTACTAGTCTGAAATGAGGTAAACAGAAGTAATTATCAAGACCTTGATTTCTTCAAATCTTGCAAGGTTTAAAATTATTCTCCAGTCGGTGATATAGCTCAGTGATAGAGTTCCTGCCTAGTGTTTGCAAAGCTCCAGGTTCTCTCCCCAGCACCCTAAGGAAAAAAGAAAAAGAAAAATTACTCTTCAGCACGAGCATAGTCTCAAAATTACCCTACAAAGAGTACCTACTGTGAAATGTCATAATTATTGTTACTTACAGCTGACCCAGGGGCTAGTGCACTAAGGAAGTCCCTGTGTTGCAACAAAATGTGATTTAAAATAAGTAATACAAGATCTGGTGGAACTGAATTCAGATGTTGTATCCACCACTAACAATATGATATTGGTCAGGTTTCTTATTCACTCCGTTTTGTTTTCCTTATTTATAAAATAGGTGCAAGAATGTCTGCCTCTTGAGATTATCCATCTACTCTTGGGTCTAATGTTAAATATTAATGTAATGTCCACCACATATCAATCACTGTGCTAATATCATGCTATCAAGGCAAACAGCAAAGCAGCACCCATACTTGGCTACTAGATTCATTTTCACTAAGGAAGATTCACAGAAACAACAGCAGCAATTACTGGTTGCTTAGATGCATTTCAGGGGTATTCACAGAAACAGCAAGATTGGGAAAGGAACTACATTTGAGGCTTGAGGTGCTTGAGTTGCATGATATAGGAAATATCAGATTTAGTTGGCATAATTAGGGATGAGAACATAATACCAATATTTCATGGTGAAACCTTGGCTATAACCCTCTTGTCACTTAGTACTCATGGTTAGGAATCTGAAGGAATTGAGGCCTTGATAATAACATCAGTCTGCTGTACTTTACAGTAGTTGAAAATAGGATATTGAGTCCCCTGGTGGAGGTTTTTGGCCAGCTCAGCTGTCAATAGCTGGAAAAAGCAAAGGCAGCAGAAGGTAAACTGGGATTGTAAAGAAGGGGTTACTGTGAATGATATTTTCTAACTTGTTGCGGGGCTCAGGTCAGAGTCGTGGAATTGCAGCTGCATGTATTGCAAACTTGTGGATGTCTTCATGATTAGGAAAACACTAACATTATGGCTTTGGGGGCAACTGTAACCCAGGCAATAGAGCTGTGATCTACTGCCTTAAAAAAATAGGCATAATCAGTTTGTAGCGAACGCTGCAGAAAGTCAGTCCTTTGTTGGGAGGCCAATCTGGCAGGGATTAATTTTAGATGAATTTTAGCTAAGCATTTAAGACATACTGTTAAATAGAAGTAGGCATTAGTAAGCCTCTAATAGATATTATTTAAAAAAGGAAGATAAACTTTGGTTCAAATATATAAAATATAAAATTTTAACTATCATGAGCACTATGACAGATAATAGTGCTATAAGATGTAGTAATTAAGATTTGGTTTAGTGTAAGACATCAGCAGGTTTAATCTTAATGAAGTGATACTTGAAATAAGATACGAAGGATAGCTAAATGTTAGATTGCTGTGAAGTTAAAGGAGAATATATAACCGTGTACATAGTAAATTCTCATTGAATGAAGACTGCGGTTTTCTTAGTGCTACTCTTTTGATAGCAAGATAATTTTCATTGAGTTTATATAGGTGAATGTGAAGGAATATAAATGAATTGTTAATAAATGCTAATTTAAGGGCATACCTTGAAGTTAATTATCAGGAAAGCAGAAATGAACACAAAAACATGAGCCAACAAATAAGACAACATGAGATCAGTTCAAGGTCTGTAAAATATAGCAGCAGGGAAGCAGTCATGGATTGACTTGATTCATGACTTGGAATGAACTGTAATTACACTGATGACACCCCCCGCCGCCTGTTTTTTTTTTTCCAGTACCAGGGTTCAAACTCAGATCCTTGTGCTTGAAAGGCAGGCAGTGGAACCACTGAGCTAAATCCCCAGCTCACTGATGACCTTTTAAAGTCTCAGATCTACCATCACAAAAACAGTTACTCTTTAAAGGTGTCAGGAAGTCTAGCCTGGTGGCACATACCTGTAATCCCAGTACTCTGGGAAGCTGAGGGAGGAGAATCACAATTTAGCAACTTGTTGATACCCTGGCTTAAAAAAAATTATAAAAGGGCTGGGGTAGTAGCTCAGTGCAAGGCCATAGATTCAATCCCTAGTACTGGAAAAAGTGTCAGGGCTATTTGATCTGATGCTGATTAACCTAAGGCTTTATCCTTAAGGCACTTACAATTTAATGTGACTAACAGATTGCTCTGCATCATCCTACCTGAATGTAAAACAAAGAGAATGGTTATCAGACAAGCAATGTGTTAAGTGAATTAACTAATTAGCAGAAAGCTTTCCAAATAATGTGAAATTTGAGATTTTTCCTGTAAAAAGGATGCTCCTGTTTAATGTATACTGTCCATTTTAAATGTCTAGATTCACTTGTTTCTATTTATAGTTAATTTTAGGAAAGTCCCCATCTTTATTGATTTTATTTTCCATCTTGGTAGCTCACATATATTTTATTTTATTGCCACCTTGAAGTCATTGAAACATTTGAAGACAGTAGTGGTGATCTGAGTTGCACATGACCGTTATGCCTCCTGTCACCTGAGCAATGAACCAGAGGGAAATGTTGGAGGCAGAGGACCATCAAATATGCAATAAGGCTATTTTTAAGAAATTGTCCCAATGACTTAAGAAGTTAAGTGATTACATGGAGCAAAGTGTATTCCTGACAGTGAACAGAAGTTAACCTATTAAAATGTTCCACTAGATGTCACCAAAAGCAAAGATTTTAACTTCATGTGTTTTTCCATGTACCTGAGTCCTAGGATTTGGACTTCAGGGCCTGAGGCATTCTGGCAGAGGTGTTTATGTTATCCTTCTAGATGTGAGGAGAATTAAACAGAGGCAAGTGGAAATCATCTAATCAGATGCCAAGCTCTGTGTACAGTTGGAAATACCAGATGTATATTACAAGTGCAAGGAAGTATTCAAATTGGTAGGGCAGTTTTTTCTGAATGAATTGGCTACTTTGTGAAAGAATGATGTGTAATAGTAATCTTATATATACTATTATCATTACATTCCAAAATGAGTTACAGGTGGATTAAATTTTGTCTTGGGTGGGATTTAAATTATTTTAAATTGTGGCAACATACACGTAACAGTGGTTACCATCTTTACCATTTTTAAGTGTATAAGTTCAGTGATATGAAATAATTCACAGTTGTATTCTACCACACATCCATAAAACTTTTCATCTTTCAAAACTATGAAATGTGTTTTAAATGTAAAAAATAGAAACACTGAATTTAGAAGAACCTAACAGGTGTATTTTCATATAATCTTCATTTCAGGAAGGTTTTTCAAAGCACAATAGCAAAAATAGTGTCAAAACATATTGATACATTTTTGATTGTGTAAGAATTAAAACTATTTGCACTAAATGAACCTCACAGTTTTATTATGTATTTATCTTTTCTGTGGATCGTGGTCCCTGTTGCCTTGCTGGCTAATAGCCAGGGGCTGCTGTTAGCTCATAGAGACTTCTTGCAATTCATTGTCATATGTCCCCCCTCACAGGCCATTTTCACAGCATGGCAACTTAGTTAT